ATTTACTCTAGATTTGCCTATGATTGAAACAAGTTCTCTAACGTGTTTCATCAAAGTAGTAAGAGCATAAAGTAAAAGACACAGTAATTTTACATGGAAAACACCCGACTTAAAAGGTGTAAAAAAATGACATGTAGTTCTATAGGATTTAGCTCCAACTTCACTAAATCAACAAGTCTCAACAGTTTAAGATTACAAACTCTATAACCTAAGGAACTAACTCTAATTCCTAAACTTCAAGTTATGGATTCAAATTACAACTCTTGCAATCCTAGAAACGTACTAACTCTAATTTCTTAAGTTTAACACAAACCTCCCAAGGTATGTGTTCACAACTCTTCGAGTTATCCCAACTTGAAGGCAACACTCTTAATTCAGTTTATAACTCACTAAACTAATATTACATTAAGACTCAATGACAAAGAAGAACTCCTACTGCATAAACTCTATAATAGGACATGGTTCTTGAATTGTTTCTTCAGCTATTGGTAGCACTTGCGAAGTCAATTTTTCATCTGTGAGAGCTTGCGTCTCTAGAGAATCTTCTCTTATATTTATAGTCTTCTACTTGCTGAGTTGTACTTTACTTGGGCTTCTTGAATACTAGTTCTTCTATTACGCAACTTCTTCTTCTTCTTTTTTTTTGAATTTTTTTTTGAGTTGGACTCCTCCTGTCGTTTGGACTCCTTCTTCGAATCAAACTTCTTTATTCTTTTGTGTTATAGTTGAACTCCAACTTTTCAATTCAACAGTCACTTGAAGAGTTCTACTTAATTCTTCAATTCAAACTCCTTGCCTCTCTAGATTCCTTCTTCAAATCGAACTCATTGATTCTTTTTCTTCAATTCACCCAATGTTTATTTCATTGAGATTTATCACGAAATTAACATTATTCATTCCTTGATTTCTATACACTTGTCTTTATTCATTTTAAAAGATTGCTCAAAATTTAATTGTTCGTGACAATGTACCTTTGAACCATGTTGACTAATGTGTTTTATCTTTATTTGTCAATCATCAAAACATCATAAATCCCAACAAATCCCTTTTTTGATGATGACAAACCTCTTGTCTTTGTGCATTCAAACAAATTTACTTGTGTAGGGACTGAAGTATGAAATACTAGAATGAAACAAGTTAGTCAATGAGTTACAAACACTGCACAACTCCTATCTTCTCCCATTTGGCATCATTAAAAAGTTGTGTCAATCCTATAATATACTATCTGATTGGTTAAACTATTCATGGACACTAGGGCTATCACCAAGACAATCAGATAACGACTTCATGCAACATACTAATATATTATAGAGAGTAAGAACATGATTCATTAAAGCAATGATTATCATTCCATTAAACTGCCAGATAATGTTCTATATAAGATCGAAGTCATACTAAATGAAGCAAAAACAATTGAGCACTAATAAAAAAAAACACTGGACAGGAGTAGAATAAAGTCAGAGGCATCAAGATTAGAAAGTGAAGAGAAGGTGGCAATAGTTATATCAACCGACGAATGATTTCAATATTTTCTCCCTTTCGTTATCGAGATCAATCTGTAGAGCTTCAGTTATAGTCTGAAAGACATTTTTCCCCGCAGGCTGCATAGGTAACCTCTAGTTCAACAATCTTATCAGCGAAGACATTACTTCAATTTGTATTTTAGTATAAATTTTCCTTATGAAGTACGTAAATCAGCATTATTCATCTATTATAAATATTTTTTTCTCTTTTTTTAATTGTTTGAAGTCCATGGTTGAATTGAAATTGAGTATCCTCAAAAATTACAAGGGAGATCAAGTTCTTTATTTTTTCATGCTAGCTCTAAGACCTTTTTTTAAGAGTGGCATATTCTTGACGTTTTAGGAGTTGGTTATTTCTCAGAAACTGAAAATGAGGAACTAGATTTCCTCTTCAAATGATAATTAAATATGTACTAGGTTAAGAGCAATTTAAAGAGGAATAACATCACAAACATCAGTTGATGAACTTTGGGAAATATTTGAATTTGAACTTGCAGGAAAATTCAAGATGACTAAGTGAGAGATAAAGATGATATGAAATATTTTTTGCACGCTTATCAGTTTATAGGTGAGAGAGAACAACTTGAAAAAAATGAGACTCTTGAGCTTTGACAGTTATTTTATACCGTATTAGAACAATTAATACATGGAACATAGTGCTCAATTATTTCACTTTAGACAATATTAACCTCTAACAATATAGAATATACCTTATAAGAGCAATTTTGTGATCACCATTGCTTGCTTGCACTATTTCTCTGCACAATCTCTAATATAAAATTAGATTAAAACAAGCTAGAGATCTAAAATTGAGATACACAACTAAATGTGCAAGACTGAATTGAATAACATTTTAGCTAATAAAATTAAAGGAAATAATTATTCTAGTTAATTATTTGTTCTTTAGTTTTACATTGGTTTAGACAATTAAAATACATAATCTAATTTTAATTTTCCTTAAATATTTAATAATGTAACTAATACTTATTAAACTTATTTTAGCATGATTTAGTACTTTTAAATTATGATCATTTTCATTATGACTTTGCAATATTTATTTTATATGATGATTTCATTATTATTTTTTATTGAATATTTTAGTGTCATCACTCATCTCATATTTTATGTTATTTTTCTTAAGAAACACCTTAGATAATTGTATTTTGGTTGGACTAAAGAAATATTTGGAGCACAAGTTAATTATATGTTTGTATGCAAACTTTACTGAAAAAATGAAAAAATCTGAGGTTAATTATTTTGGTTTGATTTATAAATTTAAAATTCGACACAATGGTTTGGTTTGGTATTTGAAAAACCCGAACCAACCCGAGGTTGAAAAACCCGAAAAATTCAAATTTTATTAGTTTGGTTTGGTTTATAAATTTAAATTTTTTACACAAATGGTTTGGTTTGATATTTGAAAAACCCGAACCAATCCGGTCATGTACACCTCTAGTTACTATGATTGTAAATTTGTATGTTTTGATGACTGAAATACAAATATTATTGGAAATTTAAGAATAATATACGTTTTTGAAAAATATACAAACCAATGTTGTATCCTTTCTAAATGAACATGAGTTTACATAAGTATATGGATACAAATATGCTTCTTAAATAACTACAAATCCATTTGATATACCTATTAGAATGAATGCAAACTAATAAAGAAATACAAATGCCATTATACAAACCCAAACATGAAAACCATAATGAATACAAATGCACATTTCATACATATATATTGGAATAAACACAATCAATTACTTTAGAAATTGTAACTGATGAGAATTTTAAGTGATATGTTATTTTTTTAAGAAAACATTCTCTCCATGATTTTCTCCTTTTTGTTATTAAATAATTGTATTCTTTCAAATCAAACAAATAAAAAACAATAAATCAGAAGAATAACAAACTAAAATATTGACATTTTTAATAAATATTGAAAATATTGATAAGAGGTTCCATTAAATGCTAAAATATTGACATTTTGAAAATTTTCTCATTTTTTAATTACCCTAGCCCACCCTACCCATTACCCCAACTCTATACCTCACTACTCATCCACCCCAAAAAATTTCTTTTAATTTTTTTTTGTTGAGGGGTGGGATGGGGGACAGGCAGGGTGTGAGGATAGGGTAAGATTTTTTTTTTTTTAATTGTAAAAGTAATTCTAATTTTTTTTAAGGGGAGGGT